ATTACCCCCAAAATCAATCCCAGCCTTCCCTTTGTGGTATGGTACCTTGCAGTACAATTTCAGAGAGATCCATACACTAACACACAAGTTATTGTCTGGAAACTAGAAAAATGCTTATTTTTGGCCCCTTAATGGGCCTTATTCCTAAATGTTTTGAGCAATTACTCCCAAACTCAATTCCAGCTTTTCCTTTGCGATATGGAACTTTGTAGTATAATTTCAGAAAGATCCATACACTTATACACAAGTTATTGTCCTGAAACTAGAAAAATGCTTGTTTTTTGCCCCTTTTTGGCCCCTAATTCCTAAAAGTTTGAGGCAATTACCCCCAAAATCAATCCCAGCCTTCCCTTTGTGGTATGGTACCTTGCAGTACAATTTCAGAGAGATCCATACACTTGAACACAAGTTATTGTCTGGAAACTAGAAAAATGCTTATTTTTGGCCCCTTTTTTGCCCCTTATTCCTAAATGTTTTGGGCAATAACCCCCAAACTCATTTCAAGTTTTTCCTTTGTGATATGGAACCTTGTAGTACAATTTCAGAAAGATCCATACACTTACACACAAGTTATTGTCATGAAACTAGAAAAATGCTTGTTTTTTGCCCCTTTCTTTGCCCCTAATTCCTAAAATTTTGAGGCAATTACCCCAAAAATAAATCCCAGCATTCATTTTGTGATATGGAACCTTGTGGTACAATGTCAGAGAGATCCATACACTAACACACAAGTTATTGTCTGGAAGTTACAAAAATGCTTATTTTTTGCCCCTTTTTGGCCCCTAATTCCTAAAAGTTTGAGGCAATTACCCCCAAAATCAATCCCAGCCTTCCCTTTGAGGTATGGTACTTGCAGTACAATTTCAGAGAGATCCATACACTAACACACAAGTTATTGTCTGGAAACTAGAAAAATGCTTATTTTTGGCTCCTAATTCCTAAACGTTTTGAGCAATTACTCCCAAACTCAATTCCAGCTTTTCCTTTGTGATATGGAACTTTGTAGTATAATTTCAGAAAGATCCATACACTTATACACAAGTTATTGTCCTGAAACTAGAAAAATGCTTGTTTTTTGCCCCTTTTTTTTGGCGAGGCCAAATAATCTCCATGGTAATGAGATGTGCCAATGCTAATACAACTGCATACCAAATATCATTGACCTACAACTAGTGTTTCCCCATGAACTGACCTAATCACGAACTAATACATGTAAACTAAGCAAAGTTTCAAAGTAAATAGACCTTGACTGAGGGGGCGGGGCCAAATAATCTCCATGGTAACGAGATGTGCCAATGCTAGTACAACTGCAAACCAAATATCATTGACCTACTACTAGTGGTTCACCATGAACTAGACCTAATCACAAACTAATACATTGTTGACGCCGCCAGAAACAGAATACTTATGTCTCGCTTTTTGACTCCGTCAAGGCGAGACAAAAACTTAACATTGAGCAATCAACCGTGAAAATGAGGTCAAGGTCAAATAAAACATGCCAGACTGACATTTACATCATAAAATATTTTAATACACCAAATATAGTTGACCTGCTGCATACAGTATTAGAAAAACAGACCAAAAAACAAAAACTTCACATTGAGCAATGAACCGTGAAAATGAGGTCAAGGTCAGATGACACTTGCCAGTTGGACATGTACACCTTACAATCATTACATACACCAAATATAGTAGACCTATTGCTTATAGTATCTCAGATATGGACTTGACCATGAAAACTTAACCTTGTTCACTGATCCATGAAATGAGATCCAGGTCAAGTGAAAACTGCCTGACAGGCATGAGGACCTTGCAAGGTACACACATACTGAATATAGTTATCCTATTACTCATAATAAGAGAGAAATTAACATTACAAAAAATTCTGAACTTTTTTTTCAAGTAGTCACTGAACCATGAAAATGAGGTCAAGGACAATGGACATATGACAGACGGAAACTTCATATCATAAGGCATCTATATACAAAGTATGAAGCATCCTGGTCTTCTTCCTTCTGAAATATTAAGCTTTCAAGAAGTTAGTTAACGCCGCCGCCGGATCACTATCCCAAGTCGCAGGCTCCACAAAAACCTAGTATAAAAAAAATCAATATGTAACCTTACTAAAAGGAAACATGTTTTTGCTTAAATACTTCACAATTGATTTAAGTGCAGTCACGTGACCGATAGTCGTACAAGATACCAGGAAACTTGAGAATATATTACTGAGGTATACAAACATAATGAAAATCTGAAGAAACAGGTGATACAGCTGGGCTGATTGATGAAATGTAGCCTAAAAGACAGGTTCTGACAGCTAAAGACCAAAGATATGACAGGGAAAAGCAAAAACGTAAATTTTTGCCCCAATGGAAGGTGAATCATCCTTGGGTGACTTTCGATGATTCAACTGATTTATCCCTCACACACTGAAAGGGAAAATGCTCTGGTTTTTGGACACAAAACTTAAAACTTGACCCCATAAAAAATCATGAAACTACCTCCCAGCATCTATATTGCCAAATCAGTGGTTAAAAGAAACTTATAAACAAAGTTGAGCTGTTATCTGACAAGTTAGGCTAGTGTGTTCTGAAGCAGCAGGGGCCTCGGTGGCCCAGTGGTCTAAGTAGTTACTACTGTAATCACTAGCCAGTCAACACTGAGGTTGTGAGTTCGAACCCCGCTTGTGCAGGTGCACTCGACTCCAATCTTAATTGACTAGGATTGTCAGTTTTCCTATCGAAGGTCGGTGGTTTTCTCCGGGCACTCTGGCTTCCTCCACCAATAAAAACTGGCCGCCACAAAATAGCCCAAAAGCGGTGCTTAAAAGTGGCGTTAAAACACCAAAATCAAATCAAATCATCTTAAGCACCAATTGAAACCAGAACAATTAAAAAGGTACGCAGTGTTATTTAACACAGCATATAGGGTTGGCATGGGAAAGGGGAACCCTTTCTGATTGAATTTTTTTTAGAAATTCAGAAACAAGAGGCTGAATCACTCACCTGTATTTCAGAGGAGAAGATTTTTAAATGTTAGCATGGTTAGCAAACTTGATGAACAAATTATGTAAAATTGTATTTAAAGGGCAATAACTCCTTAGGGGGTCAATTGACAATTTTGGTCTTATTACCTTTTTTGTAGATCTTACTTTGCTGAACATTATTGCTGCTTACAGTTTACATGGTTTATATATATCTATAATAATATTCAAAATAATAACAAAAAACTGCAAAATTTTGTTAAAACTACCAATTCGGTGGCAGCAACCCAACAATGGGTTGTTCGATTCGTCTGATAATTTCAGGGCCAATAGATCTTGACCAATTAAACAATTTTACGCCATGTCACATTTGCTCTAAAAGATTTAGTTTTTGAGATATAAGCCAAAAACTGCATTTGACTCTTATGTTCTATTTTTAGCCATGGCAGCCATGTTTGTCGATGGATACAAACTTCGGATAAAATTTATAAACAAGATACCCTTAGGAACATTAAGTTAAAGTTTGAAGGTTATTGGCCCAGCAGTTTCAGAGGAGAAGATTTTTAAATGTTAGCAAACTTGATGAACAAATTGTGTAAAATTGTCTTTAAAGGGCAACAACTCCTTAAGGGGTCAATTGACAATTATAGTCATACAAACTTTTTTGTAGATCTTACTTTGCTGAACATTATTGCTGCTTACAGTTTATATATATCTATAATAATATTCAAAATAATAACAAAAACTGCAAAATTTTGTTAAAACTACCAATTCAGTGGCAGCAACCCAACAATGGGTTGTTCGATTCGTCTGAAAATTTCAGGGCCTGTAGATCTTGACCAATTAAACAATTTTACCCCTGTCACATTTGCTCTAAAAGATTTAGTTTTTGAGATATAAGCCAAAAACTGCATTTGACCCTCATGTTCTATTTTTAGCCATGGCGGCCATGTTTGTCGATGGATACAAACTTCGGATATAATTTATAAACAAGATACCCTAAGGAACATTTAGTTAAAGTTTGAAGGCAATTGGCCCAGTAGTTTCAGAGGAGAAGATTTTTAAATGTTAGCAAACTTGAACAAATTGTGTAAATTCAGAGGAGATGATTTTTGAAATAGTTTACGACGACGACGGACAACGACGGACGCCAAGTGATGGCATAAGCTCACATGGGGCCCTTTGGGCCCCGGTGAGCTAAAAATGAGGTTGACATATGATGAGTGCTTTGGAAGGGTAAGCATATTCTGTTTTTCTAGCTTGAGTTTTCAATTCAAATTATACTTTCCAAGAATAAAGGAGGGACCTTTAAGTACTTTTTGGTCAAAGGTTTTGGACCTCCCATTGCCTAAAGAAAATTTGAACCCTAGCATCTGGACAACCTGTTTCTCATCTGATATCAGCCTATTTAAAGTAACTTTGACCTTGTCATTTGACTTTGTGACCTAAAAATAAATAGGGATCTCCCTCTCATTATATTTACATTTATTATACTTCACGTTAAAATGCCATATTTTGATTGGCTAATACGAGTGTGTTAATTAACTCTATTACCCTTCATGGAGACGCTTGATCAAGTGTGCGCTTTATTAAATACGACTCTATCCTATGGAAAATACTCTATTACCCTTCACGGAGAGGCTTGATCTAGTGTGCGCTTTATTAAATACGACTCTATCCTATGGCAAATACTCTATTACCCTTCACGGAGACGCTTGATCAACTGTGCGCTTTATTAAATACGGATGGTTGTTATGTACAAGACGTCATAGTTTATTACTTTGAATTTGAAATTTAATCGACAGTAATAACAGAACATTCAGTATAATAAATTAAGTAACACATATCTGAGAGGGTGATAGAGCAGATTGTTACCCCTCGAAAAGACATTGTCAACCTTGGCTTCGCCTCAGTTGACAATGTTTTCTCGGGGTAACAATCTGCTCTATCACCCTCTCGGCTATGTGTTATTTATATAGTGTTAATTCTAATAATGAAATAATGTATGAGATAATACCTTCCATCCTTGGTCCAGCAGTACTTGAGGATTTCTCTGACATGACTGTCTAAAAAAAGAAGGAATATGCGCTGTGAGTTTTTGTTTACCTTGCATGGTAAATATTGACAAATTTTAGTGTTTTTTGCATATTATCTCAAAAAAACAATAGAAAAATTAAATTGTAAACAGCAGAAAAGACCAAATATGCTTGATCTTCAAAAATGCCAAAATAACCAAACATTTTAGAGCCACTGCCGGTAATCATAACCAAATGTAACCACTATTTAGTACCACTACTGGTTAAAAGTGTATCATCTACCAAGTAGACAGTGTTAGTAGCACTGCTGGTAAGGGTATCCAAGTCTACCACCTACCAAGTAGACAGTGTTTATTACCACTACCTGTAAGGGTATTCAAGTGTACCATCAACCCAGTAGACAGTGTTTAGTACCACTACCTGTAAGGGTATTCAAGTGTACCATCTACCCAGTAGACAGTGTTTAGTACCACTACATGTAAAGGTGTCCAAGTCTACCATCTACCCAGTAGACAGTGTTTAGTACCACTACCTGTAAGGGTATCCAAGTCTACCATCGACCCAGTAGACAGTGTTTAGTATGACTCCCTGTAAGGGTATCCAAGTGTACCATCTACCCAGTAGACAGTGTTTAGTAGCACTACCTGTAAGGGTATCCAAGTGTACCATCTACCCAGTAGACAGTCTTTAGTACCACTGCATGTAAGGGTATCCAAGTCTACTATCTACCCAGTAGACAGTGTTTAGTACCACTACCTGTAAGGGTATCCAAGTCTACCACCTACCCAGTAGACAGTGTTTAGTAACACTTCCTGTAAGGGTATTCAAGTGTACCATCTACCCAGTAGACAGTGTTTAGTACCACTACTTGTAAGGGTATCCAAGTGTACCATCTACCCAGTAGACAGTGTTTAGTAGCACTACCTGTAAGGGTATCCAAGTGTACCATCTACCCAGTAGACAGTGTTTAGTACCACTGCCTGTAAGGGTATCCAAGTCTAATATCTACCCAGTAGACAGTGTTTAGTACCACTACCTGTAAGGGTATCCAAGTTTACCACCTACCCAGTAGACAGTGTTTAGTACCACTGCTGGTAAGGGTATCCAAGTCTACCACCTACCCAGTAGACAGTGTTTAGTACCACTACCTGTAAGGGTATTTAAGTGTACCATCTACCCAGTAGACAGTGTTTAGTACCACTACCTGTAAGGGTATCAAAGTCTACCACTTACCCAGTAGACAGTGTCAAGTAGCACTACCTGTAAGGGTATCCAAGTGTACCATCTACCCAGTAGACAGTGTTTAGTACCACTGCCTGTAAGGGTATCCAAGTGTACCATCTACCCAGTATACAGTGTTAAGTACCACTGCCTGTAAGGGTATTCAAGTGTTCCATCTACCCAGTAGACAGTGTTTAGTAACACTGCCTGTAAGGGTATCCAAGTCTACCACCTACCCAGTAGACAGTGTTTAGTATCACTGCCTGTAAAGGTTCCAAGTCTTCCACCTACCCAGTAGACAGTGTTTAGAACCACTGTTGGTAAGTGTATCCAAGTCTACCACCTACCCAGTAGACAGTGTTTAGTACCACGACCTGTAAGGGTATCCAAGTGTACCATCTACCCAGTAGACAGTGTTTAGTACCACTGCCTGTAAGGGTATCCAAGTGTACCATCTACCCAGTAGACAGTGTTTAGTACCACTGCCTGTAAAGGCGTCCAAGTATACCATCTACCCAGTAGACAGTGTTTAGTACCACTACCTGTAAGGGTATCCAAGTCTACCACCTACCCAGTATACAGTGTTTAGTACCATTACATGTAAGGGTATTCAAGTGTACCATCTACCCAGTAGACAGTGTTTAGTACCACTGCCTGTAAAGGTGTCCAAGTCTACCACCTACCCTGGAGACAGTGTTTAGTACCACTGCTGGTAAGTGTATCCAAGTCTACCATCTACCCAGTAGACAGTGTTCAGTACCACGACCTGTAAGGGTATTCAAGTGTACCATCTACCCAGTAGACAATGTTTAGTACCACTGCCTGTAAGGGTATCCAAGTGTACCATCTACCAAGTAGACAGTGTTTATTACCACTGCTGGTAGGGGTATCTACATCTACCTCCTACCCAGTAGACAGTGTTCAGTACCACTACCTGTTAGGGTATTCAAGTGTACCATCTACCAAGTAGACAGTGTTAAGTACCACTGCCTATAAGGGTATTCAAGTGTACCATCTACCCAGTATAAAGTGTTTAGTACCACTGCCTGTAAGGGTATTCAAGTGTACCATCTACCCAGTTGACAATGTCAAGTAGCACTACCTGTAAGGGTATCCAAGTGTACCATCTACCCAGTAGACAGTGTTTAGTACCATTGCTGTAAGGGTACCCAAGTGTACCATCTACCCAGTATACAGTGTTTAGTACCACTGCCTGTAAGGGTATCCAAGTGTACCATCTACCCAGTAGACAAGTGTTTAGTAACACTGCCTGTAAGGGTATCCAAGTGTACCATCTACCCAGTAGACAAGTGTTTAGTAACACTGCCTGTAAGGGTATCTAAGTCTACCATCTACCCAGTAGACAAGTGTTTAGTAAAACTGCCTGTAAGGGTATCTAAGTCTACCACCTACCCAGTAGACAGTGTTTAGTACCACTGCTGGTAGGGGTATCTACGTCTACCTCCTACCCAGTAGACAGTGTTTAGTACCACTGCCTGTAAGGGTATTCAAGTGTACCATCTACCCAGTATAAAGTGTTTGGTACCACTGCCTGTAAGGGTATCCAAGTCTACCATCTACCGAGATGACAGTGTTTTGTACCATTACCTGTAAAGGTATCCAAGTCTACCATCTACCCAGTAGACAGTGTTTAGTACCACTACCTGTAAGGGTATTCAAGTGTACCATCTACCCAGTAGACAGTGTTTAGTACCACTACCTGTAAGGGTATTGACGTGTACCATCTACCCAGTAGACAGTGTTTAGTACCACTGCTGGTAAGGGTATCTATGTCTACCACCTACCCAGTAGACAGTGTTTAGTACCACTACCTGTAAGGGTATTCAAGTGTACCATGTACCCAGTAGACAGTGTTAAGTACCACTGCCTGTAAGGGTATCCAGGTCTACCATCTACCAAGCAGACAGTGTTTAGTACCACTACCTGTAAGGGTATTCAAGTGTACCATCTACCCAGTAGACAGTGTTTAGTACCACTGCATGTAAGGGTATGCAAGTCTACCACCTACCCAGTAGACAGTGTTTAGTACCACTGCTGGTAAGGGTTTCCGAGTCTACCACCTACCCAGTAGACAGTATTTAGTACCACGACCTGTAAGGGTATTCAAGTGTACCATCTAACCAGTAGACAGTGTTTTGTACCACTGCCTGTAAGGGTATCCAAGTGTACCATCTACCCAGTAGACAGTGTTTAGTACCACTGCCTGTAAAGGTGTCCAAGTCTACCATCTACCCAGCAGATAGTGTTTAGTACCACTACCTGTAAGGGTATCCAAGTCTACCACCTACCCAGTATACAGTGTTTAGTACCACTACCTGTAAGGGTATCCAAGTCTATCACCTACCCAGTAGACAGTGTTTAGTACCACTGCCTGTAAGGGTATTCAAGTGTACCATCTACCCAGTAGACAGTGTTTAGTACCACTGCTGGTAAGGGTATCTACATCTACCACCTACCAAGTAGACAGTGTTTAGTACCACTACCTGTAAGGGTATCCAAGTCTACCACCTATCCAGTAGACAGTGTTTAGTACCACTACCTGTAAGGGTATTCAAGTGTACCATCTACCCAGTAGACAGTGTTTAGTACCACTGCTGGTAAGGGTATCTACGTCTACCACCTACCAAGTAGACAGTGTTTAGTAGCACTACCTGTTAGGGTATTCAAGTGTACCATCTACCTAGTAGACAGTGTTTAGTACCACTACCTGTAAGGGTATCAAAGTGTACCACCTACTCAGTAGACAGTGTTTAGAACAACTACCTGTAAGGGTATCCAAGTGTACCATCTACCCAGTAGACAGTGTTTAGTACCTCTACCTGTAAGGGTATCCAAGTCTACCACCTACCCAGTAGACAGTGATAAGTACCACTGCTGGTAAGGGTACCCCTCTGCCCAGTGGACAAGGTTCAGTGCTACTGCTGGTTAGGGTACTTTAGTGTATCATCTACCAAATAGACAAGTGTTTATTTCCACTGTGGTAAGGGTACCCAAGAGTTCCATCTACTCATTAGCTAGTGTTTAGTACCACTGCCTGTAAGAAAACCCATTTATCCAGTAGTATTAAAAAGACAGATTTGATATCAGTATACTGTTATTTAAGTACCATTACATGTAAGAAAACCCATCTACCCAGTAGACAGTGTTTAGTACCACTGCCCGTAAGAAAACCCATTTATCCAGTAGACAGTGTTTAGTACCACGGCCTGTAAGAAAACCCATTTATCCAGTTCTACAGTGTTTAGTACCACGGCCCCGTAGGAAAACCCATTTATTCAGTAGACAGTGTTTAGTGTTTTTCACGAAAGCCAAGAAGAAAATATTAAAGACAGGCTTGATATAAGTATGCCGCTATTTTGTTTACTTCTTCAGTTTGACTGGACACTTTTAGTAGGGTACAAGTCCCCATGAATACCTTAAACCTTGCAGCAAATCCTACTCAACTGTCTGAGTTTACTTTTAATTTGAGAAATAAACAGGACTAAATAATGAAAAACAATCGCTTTCAGTGTCCTCCTTTTGGCTTTATTTCGTGTTATAACTCTTTACACTTCTTAATTTATACTTAATTTCTGTGTCATTTGGTCTCTTGTGGAGAGTTACCTCATTGGCAATCATACCTTATCTTCTAATTTTATGTATGGTGCAGCAATAAATATTGATTTCATGTTATTCTGTTTAAAAGTAAGAACTTGTAATATATGTACCTGTAAGTATTCCATTACTTCCTTGTATCTTGGGGAGTTCGTCAGTTTTGCTGCTGCAAGATCATATGGAGTTTCACCCTGAAATCAGTGAAAAATATTGATATTTATCATTTGATCTCTTTTGTAATACTTATCTTACAGTACATTCCTACCAGTAACAGATGAGTGGTATTTTATTTCATTGCCTGACCCCTCAGCTCTGATCATCACGTCATACTCTTAACAGATGAGTAGTATTTTATTCTATTTTGTGACCCCTCAGCTCTGATCATCAATTCATACCAGTAACAGCTGAGTGCAATTTTTATTTTATTTTGTGACCCCTCATCTCTGACTTTCACTTCATACCAGTAACAGCTGAGTGTTTTTTGTGACCCCTGAGCTCTGATCATCATTTAATACCATTAACAGCTGAATGGCATTCTATCTATTTTGTGACCCCTTTGCTCTGATCATCACTTCTTACAAGTAAAAGCTGGGTGGTATTTTATTTTATTTTTTTACTCCTAAGCTCTGGTCATCACTTCACACCAGTAACAACTGAGTAATATATTATTTTTTTGTGACTCCTCAGCTCTGATCATCGCTTTATACAAGTAACAACTGAGTGGTATTTTATTTTTTTGTGACTCCTCAGCTCTGATCATCGCTTTATACAAGTAACAACTGAGTGGTATTTTATTTTTTTGTGACTCCTCAGCTCTGATTATCACTTCACACCAGTAACAGCTGAGTGGTATATTTTTTTTTTTTACCCCTCAGCTCTGATTATCACTTCACACCAGTAACAGCTGAGTGGTTTTTTTAATTCATTGTGACCCCTCAGCTCTGATTACACTTCATACCAGTAACAGCTGAGTGGTATTTTATTTTTTTGTGACCCCTCAGCTCTGATTATCACTTCATACCAGTAACAGCTGAGTGGTATATTATTTTTTTTCTGACCCTCAGCTCTGATCATCACTTCACACCAGTAACAGCTGAGTGGTATTTTATTTTTTGACCCCTCAACTCTGATCATCACTTCACACCAGTAACAGCTGAGCGGTATTTTATTTTTTTGTGACCCCTCAGCTTTGATTATCACTTCACACCAGTAACAACTGACTAATATTTTATTTTTTTGTGACCCCACAGCTCAGGTTATCACTTCACACCAGTAACAGCTGAGTGGTATTTTATTTTTTTGTGACCCCACAGCTCTGGTTATCACTTCACACCAGTAACAGCCAAGTGGTATTTAATTTTTTTGTGACCCCACAGCTCTGGTTATCACTTCACACCAGTAACAGCTGAGTAATATATTATTTTTTTGTGACTCCTCAGCTCTGATCATCACTTCATACCAGTAAAAACTGAGTGGTATTTTATTTCATTTTGTGACCCCTCAACTCTGATTATCACTTCACACCAGTAACAGCTGAGTAATATTTTTTTTTTTGTGACCCTCAGCTCTGATCATCACTTCACACCAGTAACAACTTAGTAATATTTTATCTTTTTGTGACCGATCAGATCTGATTATTACTTCATGAACTTAGTGATATATTTCAACAAGCTCAAACTTGCAGTTCCTGAGAAAAAATAAGTGACAAACATTTTTAATATATGACAGAAAAAGAGTTAAGACATAAACCTGTATACAGCTGTGGAGCAGGGGATAAAATGTATTCATGTCCAGCGGCAAATATTTAATGCATATTAAGGATGATAAATGTCACAGTAACACGATTATTCTCAACTTTGTATTAGACTGACATGTTAACTCAAGCAATCTAGCTCCAATAGCCACAGATCACAAGAATAAATATCATCATACTCTTGATATATGATTCTGACTCTGAGCCAAAGAGTCTAAGCTTTTTTCCCTAAATGATGTAGAATTGGCAGAAGGACATTTATTTACACACCTGAGTTCACCAGTAACTGAATTCTATACAAACAGCAATGTTATACTGTAAATTCAGAAATTATTGCAAGTTTTTATTTATGCGAATAATGCGACTGGGTGAGTATCGCAATAATATGAACTCACATTCTGATAACTGAAACATAGACCTGTATGCAAATTTTTTTGAAATCGCAATAATTCAACTCGCATTTTTTTCCATTCCTGAAAAAACGCAATAATAAATGCACACAATAATTTCTGAAATTAAAGTAATGTATCTAGACAGGTCCATAATATCTTAACTCAAATTTGCCAGAAATATCACTTAAGTGTTGTATCTTAGTTAACATTTATAACAATAAAAACCTTGTACCAAACAGATTTTACACATCATCTAAGTGATCCATAAATTAATTGAACACTGGGCATATACTATAAAATATTACCTTGTGTGTTTTAACCAAGGGACTGATACCTCCTTGTTCTACAAGATATCTTGTGACCTGAAGATGTCCAGACTGAGCAGCCAGGTGTAAAGCTGTTTCTCCGTCTCTCTATAATATAACCAAATAACATGTAAATATTATGGACAATACTTTGTTATCAATATCAATAATATACAACATATCCTACAACTGACATTAAAACTTGTCTGATAAACTGGACAATGTTGTGTAATAACAAGAAATGATTGTAACAGGATGCTGTTACGAAGTCTCCCAAACAATGCTCCCATAATTCGTAATTCCCAGGGTCGCCTGACATTGGACAAAGTCCAGTGAAAATTGGTTTGGTCCAGTAAAGTTATATGCATTAGTGATGCCTGGGGACTAATCCTGTATATCATTCAAATCATCTTGGCATGACAAACCAGAATATTTTTGGTTTAGGGGTGGGGATCTCGACCATTTACAAGATACTAGAACATTGGGGGTGGGGGGAACCCCTGGGGACTGACCCTATACGTCATTCAAATGTTCGAGACATGACAAACAGGAATATATATGGTTTAGGGGTGGGGATCTCGACCATTTACAAGATATTAGAACATTGGGGGTGGTGGGAACCCCTGAGGACTGACCGTATACATCATTCAAATGTTCGAGACATGATGAACAGGAATATATATGGTTTAGGGGTGGGGATCTCAACCATTTACAAGATATTAGAACTTTCTCAAATGGCAGGGGGTCGGGATGACCCCTAAGGACTAACCCTGTATATCATTCAAACCATCTTGGTATGACAAACCAGAATATATATGGTTTAGGGGTGGGGATCTTGACCACTTACAAGATATTAGAACTTTCTTAAATGGCAGGGGGTCGGGGTGACTCCTGGGGACTAACCCTGTATATCATTTGATGTGCTTTATCATGACAAACCAGAATATATATGGTTTAGGGGTGGGGATCTCGACCATTTACAAGATATTAGAACTTTCTCAAATGGCAGGGGGTCGGGATGACCCCTGGGGAATAACCCTGTATATCATTTGATGTGCTTTATCATGACAAACCAGAATATATATGGTTTAGGGGTGGGGATCTTGACCATTTACAAGATATAAGAACTTTCTTAAATGGCAGGGGGTGGCGATGACCCCTGGGGACTAACCCTGTATATCATTTGATGTGCTTTATCATGACAAACCAGAATATATATGGTTTAGGGGTGGGGATCTTGACCATTTACAAGATATTAGAACTTTCTCAAATGGCAGGGGGTCGGGGTGACCCCTGGGGACTAACCCTGTATTTCATTTGATGTGCTTTATCATGACAAACCAGAATACATATGGTTTAGGGGTGGGGATCTCAACCATTTCCAAGATATTAGAACTTTCTCAAACGGCAGGGGGTCGGGATGACCCCTGGGGACTAACCCTGTATATCGTTTGATTTGCTTTATCATGACAAACCAGAATATATATGGTTTAGGGGTGGGGATCTCGACCATTTACAAGATATTAGAACTTTCTCAAATGGCAGGGGGTCGGGGTGACCCCTGGGGACTAACCCTGTATTTCATTTAAAGTGCTTTATCATTTAGAACATTTTCAATTAAAAAGATTGTGTCTATCACAAATGGTTTTCAGTTTATAAACATTTGAAAATTTTAAAAAATAAAATCCCATAGGGTTCTATAGTAAAACCCTCCTTTCTTTTTGCCCCTCAAAGTACCCCTTTATAAACCCCATTGCACAAACAAAACCCTGATTGCACCACTAGACATGTTAGTCTAACATATTGTGAAACCCTAAGTTAATCTGACAAGCGGTTTTGGAGAACGGGTGCGGACAAGTTTAAATTTAAAAGCGGCGGAAGAAGAAGAAGAAGAAGAAGAAGAAGAAGAATAATAATAATAATAATAACTGAGCAAAACCAATAAGTCTTTGGGAGACTTAAATATAAACAAAATATATATCACATGAATCAGTGGTCAATGCTGAATAAAATGACCAGTCACACTTGTATTTGTATTCTATATAAACAATAAATAACCATGTTTTGTTGTGAAATGTCACAACTTCCATTAAACCTGATATCTTAAAAAAAAAAAAAATTCAAGAAATGTGTAAAATAATTATATCAATGGATTCAGTAGAACAAAACAAGTAAAATGAGACCCCACTTTATATGATTCTTACAAATATTTGTTCATTAAAACTGTCTAATTAACATCAGGATTTAGTGTAGATTCAGTATAATCATTCATTTTAATAAAATAATTTTTTTAAAGAAACATGAAAAGGAGTAATATTTTCTGATTCAGAACAATAATATGAGTAAAATGAGACCCCACTTGATATAATTATTACAAATATTTGGTCATTAAAATTGTCTAATTAACAACATGATTTTGTGTTGATTAATAGTAATGTGATCAGACTAAGTACATAACATACTGTTGTGGTGTTGATCTTACATCCTGTATCAATGAGAAGGCGACAGATCTCCAGGTGTCCTCTCTCAGCAGCCCACATTAATGCTGTCCATCCACCTCTCTGGAATAATACAACTGACATTAAAACTTGTCTGATAAACTGGACAATGTTGTGTAATAAATATAAACAAAATATATATCACATGAATCAGTGGTCAAAACTGAATAAAATGACCAGTCACACTTGTATTTATATTCTATATAAACAATAAATAAACATGTTTTGTTGTGAAATGTCAAAACTTCCATTAAACCTGATATCTTAAAAAAAATTTTTTTTTCAAGAAATGTGTAAAATAATTATATCAATGGATTCAGTAGAACAAAACAAGTAAAATGAGACCCCACTTTATATGATTCTTACACATATTTGTTCATTAAACCTGTCTTATTAACATCAGGATTTAGTGTAGATTCAGTATAATCATTCATTTTAATAAAATAATTTTTTTAAAGAAACATGAAAAGGAGTAATATTTTCTGATTCAGAACAATAATATGAGTAAAATGAGACCCCACTTGATATAATTATTACAAATATTTGTTCCTTAAAACTGTCTGATTAACAACATGATTTAGTGTTGATTAATAGTAATGTGATCAGACTAAGTAGATAACATACATCTGTGGTGTCGATCTTACATCCTGTATCAATGAGAAGTCTACAGACCTCCAGGTGTCCTCCCTCGGCAGCATACATTAATGCTGTCCATCCAAACATCTGGAATAATACAACTGACATCAAAACTTGTCTGATAAACTGGACAATGTTGTGTAATAAATATAAACAAAATATATATCACATGAATCAGTGGTCAAAACTGAATAAAATGACCAGTCACACTTGAATTTGTATTCTATATAAACAATAAATAAACATGTTTTGTTGTGAAATGTCAAAACTTCCATTAAACCTGATATCTTAAAAAAAAATTTTTTTTTCAAGAAATGTGTAAAATAATTATATCAATGGATTCAGTAGAACAAAACAAGTAAAATGAGACCCCACTTTATATGATTCTTACAAAATTTGTTCATTAAACCTGTCTTATTAACATCAGGATTTAGTGTAGATTCAGTATAATTATTCATTTTAATAAAATAATTTTTTTAAAGAAACAAAAAAAAATTATAATTTCTGATTCAGAACAATAATACTAGTAAAATGAGATCCCACTTGATATAATTATAATAAATATTTGTTCATTAAAACTGTCTGATTAACAACATGATTTTGTGTAGATTCAGTATAATCATGATAATCATTAATTCTATTGATAAAATATGTTTTTTAAAGAAAAATGAAAAAAAGTTATATTTTCTGATTCAGAACAATATTATGAGAACAATGGAATTACATTTAATATGAATTTACTGACTATTTATAATTTTTATAAGATGTTAAATATAACTATCCGACTAAAGTAGTTAACACATCCAAGGAAAACCGGAGTGTAAAAATTGTTTCTTGCCAAGAAGCAAAATAATAACTTTACCATATATTATTCAGAACAAAAAAACAAGTATTTCAAAGAGAACTCCTTCATGCATATTTTTCTATAAAAACTGTCTGATTAAAAAAATTTTTTTGATTAAATGTTGAATCATTGATATAAGTATCAGTTTCCATACAGACCTAGGTAGTTGAACTGTGCAGGTTTTTTTACTAGTGTTTTACTTTTATTATCAATGGTCTAGATAGGTGAATTGTGCGAAAGCAAATATGGTTTAACCCCTCCACATTTTGTGCCTGTATCAAACAGACAACCCGGACCATGTGTTGTTAGTTGTTGAATTTGTTTGTATATTTACTGTCAGTAGTCAGGTGTTTGTGGTTGGTGTGGTTTGTCTATTTACTGTCAGTAGTCAGGTGTTTGTGGTTGGTGTGGTTTGTCTATTTACTGTCAGTAGTCAGGTGTTTGTGGTTGGTGTGGTTTGTCTATTTACTGTCAGTAGTCAGGTGTTTGTGGTTGGTGTGGCTTGTCTATTTACTGTCAGTAGTCAGGTGTTTGTGGTTGGTGTGGCTTGTCTATTTACTGTCAGTGGTCAGGGGTTTGCGGTTGGTGTGGTTTGTCTATTTACTGTCAGTAGTCAGGTGTTTGTGGTTGGTGTGGTTTGTCTATTTACTGTCAGTAGTCAGGTGTTTGTGGTTGGTGTGGTTTGTCTATTTACTGTCAGTAGTCAGGTGTTTGTGGTTGGTGTGGTTTGTCTATTTACTGTCAGTAGTCAGGTGTTTGTGGTTGGTGTGGTTTGTCTATTTACTGTCAGTAGTCAGGTGTTTGCGGTTAGTGTCGTTTGTCTATTTACTGTCAGTAGTCAGGTGTTTGTGGTTGGTGTGGTTTGTCTATTTACTGTCAGTAGTCAGGTGTTTGTGGTTGGTGTGGTTTGTCTATTAACTGTCAGTAGTAAGGTGTTTGTGGTTGGTGTGGTTTGTCTATTTACTGTCAGTAGTCAGGTGTTTGTGGTTGGTGTCGTTTGTCTATTAACTGTCAGTAGTCAGGTGTTTGTGGTTGGTGTGGTTTGTATATTTACTCGGAGTAGTCAGGTGTTTGTGGTTGGTGTGGTTTGTCTATTTACTGTCAGTAGTCAGGGGTTTGTGGTTGGTGTCGTTTGTCTATTAACTGTCAGTAGTCAGGTGTTTGTGGTTGGTGTGGTTTGTCTATTTACTCGGAGTAGTCAGGTGTTTGTGGTTGGTGTGGTTTGTCTATTTACTGTCAGTACTCAGGTGTTTGTGGTTGGTGTGGTTTGTCTATTTACTGTCAGTAGTCAGGTGTTTGTGGTTGGTGTGGTTTGTCTATTTACTGTCAGTAGTCAGGTGTTTGTGGTTGGTGTGGTTTGTCTATTTACTGTCAGTAGTCAGGTGTTTGTGGTTGGTGTGGTTTGTCTATTTACTGTCAGTAGTCAGGTGTTTGTGGTTGGTGTCGTTTGTCTATTAACTGTCAGTAGTCAGGTGTTTGTGGTTGGTGTGGTTTGTATATTTACTCGGAGTAGTCAGGTGTTTGTGGTTGGTGTGGTTTGTCTATTTACTGTCAGTAGTCAGGGGTTTGTGGTTGGTGTGGTTTGTCTATTTACTGTCAGTAGTCAGGTGTTTGTGGTTGGTGTGGTTTGTCTATCTACTGTCAGTAGTCAGGTGTTTGTGGTTGGTGTGGTTTGTCTATTTACTGTCAGTAGTCAGGTGTTTGTGGTTGGTGTGGTTTGTCTATTTACTGTCAGTAGTCAGGTGTTTGTGGTTGGTGTGGTTTGTCTATTTACTGTCAGTAGTCAGGTGTTTGTGGTTGGTGTGGTTTGTATATTTACTCGGAGTAGTCAGGTGTTTGTGGTTGGTGTGGTTTGTCTATTTACTGTCAGTAGTCAGGGGTTTGTGGTTGGTGTGGTTTGTCTATTTACTGTCAGTAGTCAGGTGTTTGTGGTTGGTGTGGTTTGTCTATTTACTGTCAGTAGTCAGGGGTTTGTGGTTGGTGTGGTTTGTCTATTTACTGTCAGTAGTCTGGTGTTTGTGGTTGGTGTGGTTTGTCTATTTACTGTCAGTAGTCAGGTGTTTGTGGTTGGGTGTGGTTTGTCTATTTACTGTCAGTAGTCAGGTGTTTGTGGTTGGTGTGGTTTGTCTATTTACTGTCAGTAGTCAGGTGTTTGTGGTTGGTGTCGTTTGTCTATTAACTGTCAGTAGTCAGGTGTTTGTGGTTGGTGTGGTTTGTATATTTACTCGGAGTAGTCAGGTGTTTGTGGTTGGTGTGGTTTGTCTATTTACTGTCAGTAGTCAGGGGTTTGTGGTTGGTGTGGTTTGTCTATTTCTGTCAGTAGTCAGGTGTTTGTGGTTGGTGTGGTTTGTCTATCTACTGTCAGTAGTCAGGTGTTTGTGGTTGGTGTGGTTTGTCTATTTACTGTCAGTAGTCAGGTGTTTGTGGTTGGTGTGGTTTGTCTATTTACTGTCAGTAGTCAGGTGTTTGTGGTTGGTGTGGTTTGTCTATTTACTGTCAGTAGTCAGGTGTTTGTGGTTGGTGTGGTTTGTATATTTACTCGGAGTAGTCAGGTGTTTGTGGTTGGTGTGGTTTGTCTATTTACTGTCAGTAGTCAGGGGTTTGTGGTTGGTGTGGTTTGTCTATTTACTGTCAGTAGTCAGGTGTTTGTGGTTGGTGTGGTTTGTCTATTTACTGTCAGTAGTCAGGGGTTTGTGGTTGGTGTGGTTTGTCTATTTACTGTCAGTAGTCTGGTGTTTGTGGTTGGTGTGGTTTGTCTATTTACTGTCAGTAGTCAGGTGTTTGTGGTTGGGTGTGGTTTGTCTATTTACTGTCAGTAGTCAGGTGTTTGTGGTTGGTGTGGTTTGTCTATTTACTGTCAGTAGTCAGGTGTTTGTGGTTGGTGTCGTTTGTCTATTAACTGTCAGTAGTCAGGTGTTTGTGGTTGGTGTGGTTTGTATATTTACTCGGAGTAGTCAGGTGTTTGTGGTTGGTGTGGTTTGTCTATTTACTGTCAGTAGTCAGGGGTTTGTGGTTGGTGTGGTTTGTCTATTTACTGTCAGTAGTCAGGTGTTTGTGGTTGGTGTGGTTTGTCTATCTACTGTCAGTAGTCAGGTGTTTGTGGTTGGTGTGGTTTGTCTATTTACTGTCAGTAGTCAGGTGTTTGTGGTTGGTGTGGTTTGTCTATTTACTGTCAGTAGTCAGGTGTTTGTGGTTGGTGTGGTTTGTCTATTTACTGTCAGTAGTCAGGTGTTTGTGGTTGGGTGTGGTTTGTCTATTTACTGTCAGTAGTCAGGTGTTTGTGGTTGGTGTGGTTTGTCTATTTACTGTCAGTAGTCAGGTGTTTGTGGTTGGTGTCGTTTGTTGTACTTTCCTATATTTAGGCATTCCTGATACCAACTTATGAATTATCAAAACTGAGATGTTTTCAAGAAAGTCAAACTCATTTTGAGTGTTGTTTTTATCAATGTTGGATTATAATAAGTAGTTTACACCTTTGTACTTTGATTAAAAGTAGGTTTCACATTCAGTGTTGTTTTAGATTACAGGTATGTTTCACATTCAGTGTTGTTTAGATTACAGGTATGTTTCACATTCAGTGTTGTTTAGATTACAGGTATGTTTCACATTCAGTGTTGTGCTTTGATTACAGGTATGTTTTACATTTAGTGATTTGCTTTGTTTACAGGTATGTTTCACATTTTCACTGTTGTGCTTTGATTACAGGTAGGCTTCACATTAGTGTTGTGCTGTGATTACAGGAATGTTACACATTCAGTGTTGTGCTTTGATTACAGGTATGTTTTGCATTCAGTGATTTGCTTTGTTTACCAGCAATTTTCACATCTCCACATTCACTGTTGTGCTTTGATTACATGTATGTTTTACATTCAGTCTTGTGCTTTGATTACAGGTATGTTTTACATTTGGTGTTGTGCTTTGATTACAGGTATGTTTTACATTTGGTGTTGTGCTTTGATTACAGGAATATTTCACATTTAGTGTTGTGCTTTGATTACATGTATGTTTTACATTCAGTGTTGTGCTTTGATTACAGGAATGTTTCACATTCAGTGTTGTGCTTTGATTACAGGCATGTTTCAAATTCTGTGGTGTGCTTTGATTACACTTATTCTTTACATTCAGTGTTGTACTTTGATTACAGGAATGTTTGACATTCAGTGTTGTGCTTTGATTACATGTATGTTTCACATTCAGTGTTGTGTTTTGATTACAGGAACGGTTCACCTTCATTG